ATAACGGGAGCAATGAGAACACGTCCCACAGTTAGTATGAAAAAAATATTGGGATTAAATCCCCTACACCACATGGTAATGAGGACAGCACAGAAAACTATCATTAGTATTATCAAAGAGAAACCTCCAACAGGAATAAAACTAAAATGGAGAGACAGCAACAAAATAATGAAAGACCATCCGATACTTATGCTCCAAGAGGCGACATGAACAGGATGCTTGAATTTAATCAAAACTTCCAAATAAACCTAGGTACCAAAAAAGAATGGGATCGAGAGGAAAACACCTCTTTTAAGAATGGCACTATCTTTTGGTACACAGAAGGATCTAGAAAACAAGAAGGTGCAGGGGAAGGAGTATTCGGTCCTGGAACCAAATACTCAGAACCCATGGGAAAATACACCAGTATCTTCCAAACTGAGATTCAAGCAGTCAAGAGATGTACTCAATTCAACTTGACTAAAGGGTACAAAAACAAGAACAATCATGTCAGATAACCAAGCAGCCATCAAAGGACTAAGCTCAAATATCATTAGTTCAAAGCTGGTGCTGAACTGCAGAACCAAATTAAACATATTAGGTACGAACAAAATCAGCCTCTGCTAGGTCCCAGGACACATGGAAGTAGAAGGCCAAGAGGAAAGGAGCTGCTACACCGCTGATAAGACACGAACTCTTCTGTAGCATAGGAACCCATACTATCAATGAATATTTCAGACAAAAGGACAAAAAGAAAATGAAGGCACAATGGAATTCACTCATTGGACACAAACATTCCAAGAATCTCCTAACAACTTTCGGAAGAAAAGAAATTACAGAATGTGTCAAAGGAAGCAGGAATAAACTGCGAGCCAAATAGGGTTCTTAACAGGACACTGCACGCTAAATGGACACTTAAAGAAGATTAATCCAAGACGGCACATGCAGATTTTGCAAAGAGGCAGAGAAGACATGAACACACCTATTAACAAACTTCGGTGCTACATTTGCCCGCAGGAGAAAATGCTTTGGGACCATAGAAGAGACAACCATTGAAACCGGGCCTGCTAATCAAGTTCCTTGATGAAATAGACTCAGCGGTATGCTTTAGGCAGAGAACGGGGGATACAATAGCTCTTAAAGAGCGCAGTATATTACACCCCGTCTATTACATCTACATCTTTTAGTCTCTAACCATACATTTCATACCGGCTTAAAAATTCCATTCATATCCGACCTTGCCCAATTCCGTTTCAAAAATTTTGGATCTAAATTACTCGATCACTCAAACCCACTTAATACGCGAATTGTCAACCACAACATTACCCGCCAGTCTTGTCGGAGACTGAAGCGACGTTGGACACACCACAACTTAATTGCCTGGCGTCTGCAAAGGATAGTTGCCAAGTCCTCTCTGTTGGTGAACTAACGTCTCCCATCATTGGATGGTCACCGTTCACGCCTTACACGTTCTTTTTGATTGTTCCAACAATTTTTGGTTACTGCATATTTAAAGTGCATCTGTAAATAAATAAATGAATTCTGAAAAAAGACAGAGAGAAACGCGCCAAATGGAATAGTGACAGTATTAAAATGTAAGAATGGGGCCGAACCCTAAATTTCCACATCTGCAAGTTTAACTGTTTCTAATTGTTGTGCAAAGCTCGGAGGTAAACGAAAATGCGAGCAATCTTCCATTTTCTAATCGCGTTTATGCAAAACACTATGGAAAAATTATAGCTAATAAATCAGACGCGTGTTGTCTCTGAATATAATGAAGTTTAAATTTGGCGATATTCCAACTTGATCTCTCATAATGACGAAAGTTTACCACCAGCGCTTACATCGGTTTGAATTCGGCTTGTTTCTATTTGCTGCACAAATCGATCAGTTCCTACTTTATTGGTATGCCACCGCGTAATAATTAAGCTGCCTGCATAGAAACGGCCTTCGCGCAAATTAAACGCTCCGGTTACACCTTGTTATTAATACAACGATAATCCAGGCGTAAGAAATGGTTAATTCGGTCGGAAATGTGCCCAATTGTCGAGAGTGTTGAACCCTTTGTTTCAATTAAGTTCAAGGCGGTGTTCTCGAAAAGGGCCCGTTCGAAATAAGTGACCTTGGTGTCTTTGTGATAGAACAATTGTTTAAGGAAATCATTATGAGCTTTAGTAATTATTTTTTATTATAGTCCAATGGATTTAATGCGGAATTGTAATAAGTTTAGTTCTTCAGACCGCTTTTACTGTAATGCTTATTAACGATTATTTGGAGATCGTGAGATGCGGTCTGGCGTGACGTAGGTTTTACAAAAACATTTTATTTATCGTGCCAATGTTTCGATCTTTAGTAAGATCATCTTCATGGCTCAAAGTGTTTGTTTTCCGTGTGGATGTTCTTGACTGTCGTGTTGATAATGACACATCTACACGGAAAACACACACGTTGATCCCTGAAGATGATCTCAATAAAGATCGAAACGTTGGCACGATAGATAAAAGGTTTTTCTAAAACCTACGTCACACCTGGCCGCATCGCACGATCTCCGAATAATCATTAGATGAGAAAGAGAAGAAGTGAAAAAATTCAGGGCAGCATAATTAGAAGTCGTTTGAACTACTAATGTTATGCTACCTAAGAAAATAAAAACAATATGGTCTGTACCCAGCTAAGAAGCTTTTTCTACTGTCACATACTATAGGATGGATGACATTGCTTTCCCGTATACTCGGTCGTTCTAAATAGGACAATGAGGATCTTTAACGCCCGCACCTAGCCTATTCGGCCTTATCGGACGTTCTGATTCTCAAGATGAGAGCTGACGCACCTCCGCATACGACAGAAGGGTGTTACTGCCGCAGCGTTGGTGTAGAGGCTGCTCAGCCCCGAGGGGCCAGGAAACCTCTCTCCCCGCTTGCCCATTCTAAGTCGTCGGGTCCGGATTAAGCATCGAACCGCATGCCGCGCGCAAAAGGCTACTTGGGCCCAAATACATCAGCCTGGTCTCCCGCGCACTCCCTGGATAGAGAAGTCACAATAGCTCAAGTGGTAGAGCAGTGGCGTATTTAGACGATGGATGACACGATAGTATGCTTGTTCTTTATTTAAAATACAGCTATTATATACATAGAAAATTAAATTAATGTCCAGTAAATTGAGGTGTCCGCTAAACAGAAAGAGTCCATTATCGGAGGTTTCACTTTACTTCGTCGTCACTCTCAACACGACACACAAGAATGACACATCTACATGGAAAACAAACACTGAGCCCTGAAGATGATCTCAATAAAGATCGAAACGTTGGCACGACAAAGAAAATGTTTTTCTAAAATCGACGTCACACCAGACCGCATCTCACGATCTCCAAATAATCATTGGCTAACGGTCACCAAACAACAGTGCTGCTTAACGTCTGCTTGGAACTCAATTTATTAATTGGTCTTAAGAATCCTTCTATTACTATTTCTGATGTAAAGGTGTAAATCGACCAGTTGTTACTCAACAATATATTTGGTAGGATGGAGGATGTGGTCCAATGAATGTTCCAGTGTTGAAACTACGCCAAACTTTTGGCGTTGAATAACCTACACTAGTCCTATTTGTTTACGTTCTGATTTTGTCTATGATTTTATTTTGTAAAAAGTGCCATTTATTTATTAAAAAACATTGTACTTAGTATGAAAATTAAGACATTATAAAAAGAGAAAAAAAGGTTTATACATGTTGATAAAAGAAAATAATTGTAAATACTAACTGGGAATATAGCCCTGAGGAAGGTGAAATAAAACACCGAAAGCACATCAACACATTCAACACTGGAACATTCAATGGACCACATCCCCGATCCTACCAAATATATTATTACTTCTTTCAATTAATTATTCTTTCTATTTAAGGTCTTGGTTGAGATAAAAAAAGTCAGTTCCACGAACGGGATTCGAACCTACGACCTTCGGCTAAATACGCCGCTACTCTACCACTTGAGCTATCGTGACTTCGATCCTCTCGGACACCAACTCTCCATCTCAACATACAACCGTTCGAATTTTCCATCATTTTGCTTTTTTCAAATGTTGTGTAATCAGGATTGAATTTTCAACGACTTATGAAGTGGCCACGGGGAGCTGTTTAGTGAAGTGATACTTATTTTACTTATTAAATATTAATTTACGTATTAGTGGTCTTTCTATGTAAGGTCTTGGTTGAGATAAAAAGAGAGTTGCAGAGTTGGTGTCCGAGAGGATCGAATTCACGATAGCTCAAGTGGTAGAGTAGCGGCGTATTTAGCCGAAGGTCGTAGGTTCGAATCCCGCTCGTGACAGTGACTTTTTTGTCTCAGCCAAGACCTTACATAGAACGAATAATTAACTGAAAGAAGTAACTTGTTCAATTGACCACTAAAATGTAAATGGATTTATATTATTACTAGTTATATGTACGTTAATATTATTTCTACGATGTAATATAATCTGATATTAAATACAATTTATAATTTATTTATATTTATTTTACTTCATACTCAGGGGCTCTCGTCGCTACCGGTGTTTCCAGGGGAGGCGGGAAGAATGAAAATCTTTATGTGTTATGTATTTATGCTTTTCTTGTTCTCTTAATAACAACTTGACTACCTGAGATACTTTCAAAAGTTTAGCAAAGAAAACAAGAGAGAAAATATGAGAGAGTTAGTGACAAAGATGTCACTTTATGTTTGTCAGGCTGTAAATAATATATATAATAAATGTACTTCATAATGCACTTTACTTTTATTAATGAACTCGAAACGTTTTAAATTTTATAGTCAAAGGTATGTTGCAAAAATATGTGTTTTTAATAATTAATAATGATTAAAATATAATTCTTTCAAATCAAAAATTAACCGTTGTATCTATTATTACGTCATGGTTTATGATTTAAACATTAAGTTTCAATTATTGAGACTCATCGTTTTCGGATAATATTCACTAAAAATCTAATTAAATTGTTCAGTTTTTGTGCCACAGTTTCGAATATTACAATACCTTCTGGTGGGCCATCGTGAAAGTGTCCGTCGGGCGTAATCCTGTAACAGATCAATTGACAGTTGACGGTCATTATTGATCAAACTTGAAATTTAATCCTTCGCTATAACAATTATGTACCACATTTCAAGGTGAGCATGTTGATATAGAGTTTAGTTACGTGTTTAAAGATGGGTCAAATTAACCTAATTAACGAATAATCCATTTCAACATCGAAATGACATTCTCGTATAATGTAATAGCTTTAGCAAAACATTACTGTTTGTCTGGAAACAACAAACTACGACAAAACTTTAATGCTTTTTTATACTTTTCTACCTATATGTACGTAAAAATAACTTACATATTAAATATTGCGTATGCACGCGCACTCAACCGTGTGAATTTGGCACAAGAAGCTTTTCTAAAATAAGAGAAAATTTGTTTTTATTCATGTGTTTCACGTGCTCGTTCATAAACGCGCAGGCGCCTAAAAAAACCCTCACTCTCTTCCTCATTCACTCACTCGCTCTTTCTCCCTCTCTGCTCTCTCTTTCTTTCTTTCTTTCTTTCTTTCTTTCTTTCTTTCTTTCTTTCTTTCTCTCTCTCTCTCTCTCTTTCTCTCTCTTTCTCTTCTCTCTCTCTCTTTCTCTCTTCTCTCTCTCTTTCTTTCTTTCTTTTAATCACATTCTCTGGTATCATTACTCTAATTATTTAATTATCTCCCACTTGCTTTTATTCTCTGTCTGTTTGTTTTTCGGACACTTTCCCATTTATTAATAAATTATGGTAGAGTAACATTTTAAAAAATTCTGCAAACAAATAATTTCTTATACTTTCCGAGGTACCCATACACACCCATGTGGGCATACACGTTCACGCATATGCAATAGATGGCTTAACTTATTTCGGACCAGAATTTCATCAAAAATGAAAATCCATATCAATAAATTAACAGTGTATACTTTTTAATAGTGCAAAACCACAGAGAAGCGCGCGCTCATATACACGCATGCGAATTAGTTGTAGTAAATTAAGAGTAGGATTTTCATAAAAAATAAAATTTCACCTAACTGTATTGTTCATTTTTTTTGATAGGACAAATACCCAAACATACGCACTCACGCACGCATAGATATTTTATCATAAATAACACGTCAGACCAAATGTTGACAAGGATGAAGTCATATCAAAAGAGAGAGAGAAACCCGTACGTCATCAAATTACAAACAAATTATAATTTTGTTCCAAGGATTAAAAAAATAAAATAATGGTCATTTACCATGTATGTATAGGGTGGTACTTTACCAGTAGATTTTACATTAAAAATGGAACCAAAAACTCCTAATTAACTATGGTCTGAATCTCTACAGTTTCGGAGTTATTCCCCCTTTTCTTATTTTATTCAAGATCTCGCGACCTTGTTTCAAATAAACAGTGATAAAAAGCTAAAAGGTTTTGGATAAATCGGTTGATACCATTGAAAATTACGTTAAATTTCCAATAAGTTGTGATCAAAAATAAATTTGTAAAAATTGGTGAAATAAGCGTTTCGGTAGCCAGAACTTTGAAAAAAAAAAATTTTTCAGAGTTGAAAAATTTACTATGATGATTCTAAACTAATATTTCCAAACCTAGAGACCAACAAATATCAGAAAACGTATTCCATTTAATATCCTTTGTAGTGGTGTAATTGCTTTTTTAATTGCATTTTTCAAAGATGAATAAAATTGATGAAGGAAAGGAAAAAACCGTGCTTGACGGTAAGGTGGAAAGATTTAAAAAAATAAATTTAAAAAATTTAAGGAAATTTTGACTCAATTTATTAAAAGGTTTTACATTTTGATTGGAGTCATACTTGTTTATTTGAAGCAAGGTCGTGAAATCTTAAAAAATCGGAAAAAAGGGGAATAACGCCGAAACTGTTGAGATTCGGACCATATTTCATTAGGACATTTTGGTTCTTTTTTGAATGTAGAATCTACTGGCAAAGTTTGTAACACGAATAGCTGAACACCCTGTATACATACACACATAGTGCAGCTTTAATAATATAATGTAAATCACATGTAAAACAAGTTTCACAAACTCACACATCCATTTTTTATATAGTCAACGTTATTTTATTTTTATTTTTTTTAATACAAATACATTTTTACGGTAGAAATAGTAATAATTTTTTATTGGTCTTCTAGAGTAGAAACCAACATTAAACGAATTTTATGATTTTTTAAGATTTCACGACCTTGCTGGAAAAATCAATGATAACTCCAAAATAAACGTTTTGGACAAATGCGGCAGCGCGTCGAAAATTCATCGCGGAGGGTGGAGAACGTTTCGAATCAAAATTAAAAAAGTTTAATAAATTCATTCAAAATTTCCTTACGTTTTTATTTTTTAATATTATTAATCTTTCCACCTTGCCAATCCTTCAGTCACGGTTTTTTCTTTTCCTTCATCAAAATCTTCATCTGTGAAAAAAGTAATTTAAAAAGCAATTGCACCACTAAAAAGGATGTTAAATGGTGTACGTTTTCTGAAATTTTCTGGTCTCTAGGTTTGGAAGTAGTAGTTTAGAATCATAATAGTAAGTTTTTCAACTTTGAAAAAAAAATTCAAAGTTCTTGCTACCAAAACGCTTATTTCACCAACATTTACAAGTTTACTATTTCTCATAACTTATTCAAAATTTAACGTAGTTTTCAACAGTATAAACGGATTTGTCTAAAACCTTTTAGTTTTGAAGTTATCATTGTTTATTTCAAGCACGGTCGTGAAATCTTAAAAAATCAGAAAAAGTGGAATAACTCCGAAAGTTCTGAAATTCGGACAATAGTTAATTAGGGCTTTTTGGTTTCGTTTTGAATGTAGAATCTACTGGTAAAGTTTGTAACACGAGTAGCAATTCCCTCTACATACACACAGTGCAGCTTTAATAATATGTTACAATTAATTAAGGCTTTTAGTTGAGATAAAAAGTCAATGGCACGAGCGGGATTCGAACCCAGGATCTTCGGCTAGATACGCCGCTGCTCTACCACTTGAGCTATCGTGACCTCGATCCACTCGGACACTAACTTCCCATCTCAACCCCACCTTTTGAATTTTCCCTTCTTTTTGCCATTTTTTTTTTCGAATCCCGCTCGTGCCATTGACTTTTTTATCTCAACTAAAAACCTTAATTAATTGAAATATATTAATTGGTCAAGCGGACTACGAAATTAGTGAATTTAATAATATGATATAAATCACATGTAAAACAAGTTTCACAAACTCACACATCCACTTTTTTGCTGTAATAATCGAATTTATATTATTTTATTTTTATTTTTAGACAAATACATCACTCCAGTATAAATAATAATTAATTTTTGATAGGCATTAAAATTAAGTCCTGTAAAGTAGAAATCAACATTAAATGAATTTATCTGTGAAATACTTCAGTTAATTTCCTTTTTGCATTTTGTATTTTTGACCCTTATTTTATAATTGTTCTAATTTATAGATAATATTTTTTCTAGTTGCCCTTCCTTGCGGTGCTTTACGTCATTTATGCCACCAGTCTAAAAATGTCCAATCAATTTCACAATATTGAGAATTTGGACCAAAAGAAGTCGTTAGATTATATCGTGTTGACAAATTTTGTCAATTACACTCTGTCTCTTGTATATTAGTATTGTCCTTGAAAAAAAATTAATAACTTCAGTCAATAACAGTCAAAAAATGTTGTTGTGTTCAATGTCTGGACGTTTCAAGGTGTTATGTTCCTAATTGAGGGGAAAACGATATCGACGTTTGAAGTGCGAAGTCACGACGAATTAAAATAAAGTCCAATGAAAAGAGGAACTAACAGTAAATTATCGATAAATGTTTAATTTATTTTCCCGTTTAATAATTGAAATAGAATAATCGCGCCTTTGTTCGGACGACAACAGTTGTGTCGTGCTGATTACTTCATTAACGTTCAATGCGTGTTGAACTTGGTTTTCTGACTCGTGTGTGTTGATTCAACTCGAATGACATTGAAACAGACATGGGTTTATTTTATCTAGAATTTAGAATTGACAAAATGTTCTTTTGAATTTGGAATTTACATTTTTAAAAAACTTTATAAGGTGGCAGTTTTGCCAGAAACAAGTTTTGGATTTCAATTTTATGATTAAAAGTTCATCGTACACATTGAGTAATTATTTATAAGCTGGGATTGGCGTTGTCAAGTCGGAAGTGTACGAAACGTTTTGTACATTGACAACATGCGGGAAAGGTAAACAAAAAAGTACAGAAAGCGAGACAGGGTGGACAGCTTAAATTGAACGCCTGGATCGGAATTAATTCCCCTTTTCTCCCTCCTTGCATTCCGACAGGTTGATTTTCTGTAAAATTTGACTTTTTGACAATACGCAGCTTACCGTATCGGTTTTTCGGCGCGGTTGTCTGCCCCTGTCGGCTGTCTAGTAGAGACTGAGAGAGGCTTCGGGACTTCGCCAACCCCACCACGCCGCTTCGCCCCGCGCACCTACCTTCTATGGCAAAACAATAAGCAAACTTTACATCCTAATTGATTATACAATTATTGATTGACGTATTAAGTAGCCTCCAGGCTAGGCCTGATCGAGTAAACGCAGTAAAATGTTTCAATACACACAAACCATTTCAACTACGTATACAACAGATGGACGTCAGAATAAAATAACACCCTCAAAAATTGTTTTTTAAACAATCAATGTCAAATAAATATAACATAATTTATAGAATTGTTTTTAATTTGCATTTAAATTTATCATCAAGATTTTGTTTAAAAAAACTGTCTCCTGTAAACTTTCGCGTACATCTTTTTTTTACTTTTTGAGGGTGGACGCGGGACTATCTCAGGGTAGCATCCTCGGCCCTGTACTATGTACTATGTACCTATTGTTCAATATTCCTTCCTCATTCAGGTCTTTTGCATTGTGCCGCACTTTGGCCTTTTTGGGATTTTGCAGAATTTCTTTATTGACTATTATTGCCGCTACGGCTCGCGCAGGTGGCCGGGTCGGGCAAGCAGCTCACCTATACAATATATAAAAATGTATGTACATTGACTAAAACGTACAATTATATGTAATTCCTAATTTAGGAGTGCTATCACTGGATAGCTTGTCCACATGATGTCTATTCGTTTTTGATTTTCTTTTAAGTAGAATTACCTCGTCGTCTATGTAACTTATTGCGCTTCTCGCAGACTGTTGTTTTATTACTCAACAACAACAACAATTTTTTTTGCAAGATGAATAATTCGTTGTGTCCGGTTTGTAGAAGGTGCACATTTTCATTCCTTCAAAATGACGGGCCAGAGGAAAAACGGCCACCACACATCTGTCGCCAAAATCCGTCCCATCATGTGAGATGGACCACCGGCATTAAGGAACGGGGGCAAAAAATAGTGTGATCAGTCACAGTGTATGTTTCCTCTTCAAATATCTAGTTCTGATTTGAAGAAATGTTTTTATTTGATAAATTGAAGTCAAGTTATTTGAACGTATTCTTTTCCATGTTGTTTAATCTTTAATCATTTGTATTTTTTTTTTTTTTGCATGATGCATGATTTTTATGATAATGTTATTTCATTTGTCACAATTCAGATTAAATATCAGGTATAAGTTTACAATATAAGAACCGTATTTTTTTTCATAGGGTGCGGGTGTTTTTGAAAAAAGCCCATTTGTAAGTATGTCGGGTTCGAATGCAGGACCGCTGGATTCGAACCCGGGACCTTCACCTTACATTGATGAGCGCCGTGTCAACGCCTAAACCGTTGCGGCCAACGACTCCCCCAAGTATTGCTTGGAAATTGCCTTCTGTCAAAGTCCTATGAATCAAATGTTTAACACGCTTAAATGTGGATTTGTATACTTTTCAAGAGAGCGAAAAATGAGATTCTTAATTTTCCGTAAGGTCCATGTAGGACGTTTTTACATTTTAATTTAATTAGACCTCATAAAGTGCACCAACGTTGTTTATTGCCAGTGGTATAATTTTCATAACTTTTTACTAATTATTAAAAAATATTCGGTAGGGAGATTTGCGATGAAGCTTCACCAAATTGAAGACAAAGTACTGAATGTGCAATTTTCCGGTTGAGTTTATAATAAATTTCCATTACAGAAGATTCGTTACTTTAAATTCAATTGAATTAATAGTTTTAAAAAATAATTAAAATAACAGGGAAATAGAAAATTCTTCTAGGAAACTAATTTTTATTTCTTACAACATGTTAGTAACACTGCAAACACCACAGGTTGACAACTGTGCTACTACCTCACGTTGGATATTATGCTGAGGTGTAGCTAGGTAATCTTGCTACCACCGCAGGTTGGCAATTATGCTGAGGTGTAGCTAGGTAATCTTGCTATCCCCGCAGGTTGGCAAATATGCTGAAGTGTAACTAGTTAATCTTGCTACAACAGCAGGTTGGCAACTAAGCCCAGGTGTAGGTAGGTAATATTGTTATTACCTCAGGTTGACAACTGTGCTGAGGTGTAACTAGGCAATCTTGTTGCCACCGAAGGTTGGCAACTAAGCAGAGGTGTAACTAGGTAATCTTTCTACAACCGCAGGTTGACAACTAAGCCTGTAACTAGGAAGTTATTTTTTACGGAAAATATATTTAATGAAGGCCTAATTATAATTGAAGATATCATATTTCAATTAAGTGAAAAAACTTCTGACTTGAATCTTCCATCACCAAATCGGAGTAAATTGAAGCAAACCTGTAGGATTGGTCCTAAGTCAACCTTATGACATTCCGCAAATTAATGCCTACATCTCTACTAATCTCCCAAATTTAGTACTTGACCAACGACAAGCATGATTCAATGATAGTAGTGACAACATAAAAGAAAAAACGTTTTTCTTAATGCTCCAAGTGGAGCAGATCAGTTCAGATTTACTTATTTATTTATTTTCGAGGGTATTTCAACTACGAAGTTATATGAACCCTCGGGGGTGCCGGTGTTTTTGTAAAACTGTTCAAGTTTAACTCGATTGTTAATTCACTTTCAAGCCTGGACACTACGTCTTAGCTGACGCAGAGGAACTTCTTTTAATGTAAGACGTTCAGCGAGAAAGTGAAACACTGATCTTTCTCTTTTTGTTTTGAACTTTAATTTATAGTTTTGTAGTTAGTCATCAATTATTTACAACATTTATTTATTAATATAATATAAATATAATTAAATAAAACTGAAAACCACTAACACGATTGGAAAACTATTGAGACTAATCGGTGATCAAACTAATTTATTTGTCAAAAATGGCATACCAGATGATTATTTATACTCCCACTTTTATTTCTTTTGTTTGGAAATAATTTTAAAGAAATAGGGAATGGTTTTATTTATATCTATCGACATTCATTTACCTCCTAGTAACTTTAAGTTAATTATTAATTCAATTACTACCTAGTGACTTTATTAAGTTAATCCTAATGAATTAAATTTTCAAAATGTGCACCACCGATCTCCATACAAAGCAACATCCTATTATGGAAATCATTTCGCAATTCACAAAAGGATCTGGTTTTGAGCACGTGCAATTTTTTCACCTTTTACCTCAACTTGATTTTGGTCTAGTATGTTGTGCTGTATTTGTTTGAGATTTTATAACTTGAACCCTTTTTAAATTAGGAGAAGAAGCAAAGTGATAACCTCATTGTTTTCTCTATCTGCACTGCTTGGAGTTGATAGTTATCGAACGCCTATGACTTTCAAAAATGCAGATTTATTTATTTACTTTTTTCGCTAACTACAAAGCTTGTTAAATTTAATAATTCGACATTTTGCTCTTTTTAGCCTAACTGAATTTTTGTCCAGTATGTATCGCCGTATTTGAAAATTTTAGAATTAGAATTATCCCAATATCGGCAATTGTGACGATTCAATTCTTCGGTTTGTGAATATGGATTGAATCACTCAATTGCCAATCGGTAGTTTATAAATAATATAATATAAATAATAATAAATAACGGCATACCCCAAAACATGCGAATGCGGGCGCACATCAAACAGACAGGACGAAGAATAAAAGACTCTCCACGCAGAAAATAGTTGCAAACAATCAACAAAACAGACAAGCATTAAACTACTACACGACGTCAAAAAGGATAAAATTTTGATAATTGAAAACTTGGAAACATAGACATTTAAAAATTGAAAAAACTGAAAAATACACATATTCAAAACACTAACATTTAAGAAAAAAAAAGGACCGACAGAACAATAAAAAACTCAGACTCAAACAATCAAAGGCATCGATAAACAAAGATAATCCCGATACACACCCCACCCATCACGACCGTAAAAAGAGACTTGACTTCACGTAAGACTCACTGAAGATGGCGAAATGTCGAAACACGTCTCACAGACCAACTCAGCAAGGCGAGATAGATAATGATCGGTAACGACAAATTATACTAAAGAAATGTGTCAAAAATTTGTAACTGTTCTAAATAAGAAATTAATTTAAATGTTTAATATTATTTATACACGAGTACATAAAAAAGCATTAAATGGAGATCAACAATAGATGCCGTCGTTTCAGCTAGAAACTGCCAATAACTTTTTTTTCGCTCTTTCTCCAGTTTTGCCATAAGGGCCTACAAAACACTTTGGGCGCAGAGGATTTTTCCGAATCATTTTGACTATGTTGATGTCAAAATTGTTCAAAATCTCTTTTATACTCCCTACAGTTTCATATGTTGTTCAGAATAAGTGGCTGGCAATTTGGTTCATTCTCTTTTAAATAATTTTTATTTGACAATGGAAGAACCCGACATCGTACTCCAGAGATTGCAAAAGAAAAAATTTCCGAAATTTTCCATGTGTGAGTCTTTTTTTAGTTACATCTTTATACCTTTTGTTTGTTGTGAACGAATAGTCAAGGAATTGTAACAACAGTGGCTGATGCTAAATATTGTCCCCATGGAATCACTCAATTCTAGAATGAATTATTATAATGGAGAAAATTACTTCAAAGGTTTTTAATTTTTTGAATGTATTACCAAATAATAAGTACAACTTTTAGACAATATTAATAAATTAAACAAACAAAAAAATACAGCTGATCAGATAGATTAGTAAGCTGTTAATAAAATCAGATTATAATGAAGGATTATTTAATTTCCAACATGCTGAAATAGTACTCTTCTTTTTTGATGTACAAAAATTGTACAATTTAGAGCTCCTCACTGAAGATGGCACATTGCTGAAATGCGTTTCAACAAACCTGCGAGTAAAGAGGGACCCGAAAAGTAACCCATGTTGTTTCAGCATGAGTAACACATTGCTATGAAACTGTACATTCATATATTAAAAATGTTTAAAAAATAAATATTTGGAAGCTTAGAAGGAACAACATGATAGTAAATAAATAGTAGTAATTTTCGATCAATTTTTTGAACTTTTCCACCAATTTCTATTTTATTTTTAAGTTTTTGGACAAGCATTCAGATGCAAACAAAAACTGGTAGAAATATTAAGAACAAAAATAATATTTGTGCAAAAGAAGAAAAGACATCATAAATAAAGTTGACTATATATATTATATAAAAATCTAAATCCTTATTGTTTCTTTATTGGGATTTGGATTTATATAAGCTCAAATCTGCATATGTTTGTACATATTTATAATAAGTTGGCAAGCCTCGAGAATTACCCACTTTGGTTGTTGGCAGCCCAGTGACAGACTTCCGTCTTTTCGGTCCAGCTGTCAAGTTTGGGCTCCGGGTGTAATTATTAGCTAGGTCATTTCATCACCCAACACATGCTGTTCCTAAATCCAAACCCATTCATACTCACTCATTCTTTCCTATTTACAAACCATTCACTCAGTTTGGATATTGGAGTGTACGATATTCTATCAACCTCTTGCATCACACATTCACGCTAATAAATACATTCATTCTCCACAAGCTAGGTTTACACCACTGTTATTATTATATACAATAGTAAAACTCTGTTTCCTCCAAAAATCAAAAGAGGGGGCACAGATAGTCGATGATGTGCTGAAGCACAATTCTCATATTGGTTGATATTACGTTCTCGCTCTCTATATGAAGCCAATGGATTTTTTTTCCATTTCTTTAATATCTTTCTATTGTACAGGAAGTAGCATACCTTAGAAGAACGAGATGATGACACCCCCCCCCATGATCAAAAGTACGGCGAACACCAGACGAAATGAGGACAGCACCAGTCAGCAAAAACTATTCCTGAGGGAGATACATTAGTAATACCTGAGCTGCTTTTGTGGAAGTGCATGCACTGCCATCATCCACACCCCCATGAGCACTGTGGTATAAAAGACACCCAAACTGCTCCGCTGTGCTGTCCCACCAGTGCCCTCGCCACCATGGACTGGCACATTGTGCAATCTCTTGCATGCTGGACACATAAGCGGGCTTTTGAACATAAATAAGTGTCTGTGTCAACCTCACAAGGCCTATTCTTAATCATTTTAGGAGGATCCTTCTTTGTTCCATCAAGTCCTCCTAGTACATCTACATTATTACACTTTACTCTGACTTACTATCTCAATGTAAAATTCTACATTTAATTATCTTTCTGTAGAATAATTCAACAGTTTCTTTTTTTGATTTAGCTATTTCTTTATACATATTACAAAATGTATTATTGTTTTCTTTGCTTACAGCAAGAAAGAAATTGAAGCGTGCATGTGCTAAAACATGTGTGTCAGCATTTCTCAACCCCGTTGGTATTGTTGGAAATATTCTGGCAGGATTTATTGGCCTTTGCTTAGGGATTATAATTGCCTTGTGTAAGACAACTTTTTTACCACAGTCTTATGTCAACATAAAAATACAATTAAGACTTTCAGCAATTACTGATGCCACAAGCAGATAAAAAATATGTAAATTTTTAGGGTTTTATTACATTATTCTTTCTGACCTTGAATTTTCTACGAGTACAAATATGATCCTCAGCATCACCTTCGGTGTGTTTTTGTCACTCGGATGCGCCACATCATCACAGGTATTCGCTGTTGCTACTTTCTTATTATTTTTATAATCTGTTTTGTTTATTATTTTTTAATTTTTATAATTTTGTGTTTTTCTTATTATTGTTATAATTTTATAATTCAGCTAAGGTGTATAACACTTTTGACATTTCCATCGATGTGTGGAAAAGGAGGAAGAGGGATGCTGAGGGCGTTTCTTATCGCCTACTTGCTGGCGGGTCCTTTGGCCAATCTGATGAGAAACGGAAAGGAAATCATCAGATCCTTTGGTTGCACTTCTTCAATGACATATAGAATCAATAAACTCAAGTTTGATTTTTTCTTTTTTTCTAACGAATCTGACACCTAGGTGATGTACAAATTTTTTTTTAGGCATGATTTGATCTATACACCTTTCTACAAAACACTCATGAACTTAAAAGTAACTATTGCCAAACTAAATAAGTAAATATTGAATGAAATTTTAACGTAACAATTTAAAGGGGGATATGAATGAAGTTCAAGATGCAATGGTATCGTTAAATGCAGTTGTAGAACCTCTTACGCACGAATTTCGAGATGAAGACGAAATTGGTAATTTGAAAGAAGATAATGATTATATGGATGATCTCCAGGTAATTTTGTTTTTATTGGGAGATATTTTGTTTACATTGATCATTTCCAGTTGTATTCATCTCCCTACGAAGATGGCAATTTGCTGAAATGAGCATAGGCAGTTTTGATCATTTATACAAATTTTAGCTGAATACAGGCTCATTTCAGAATCATACAGTTGATGTACATACATACACTACTGTACATATAACATATGTATTATTAGGCGTTTCATTGGGAAGCGAGTAGCGTGAAAAAATGGATGTTTGTGTATATCTCTTATTTTGTTAGTTATTCGGTAACCTGAATTAACACCAAGGGGCTAGCTAGTTTAGAAACAAAAAATAATGAAGGTCAGTTTCAGTTACAGTGGCTTTGTACACTAACTCACATCACAACACCTCATCCTATGAGCCTTGGATGGAGCGGTTATTTATGCAGGGTGCGGGTGTAGACCCTAGGTGGCTAAGCTTCAGGTTCAGTGTGTCAGTGTGACAACATAAACTTTACACAAGGCTATATATGTAAAACATATGTATTATTAGGCATTTCATTGGGAAGCGAGTAGCATGAAAAAATGTATGTTTGTGTGTATCTCTTATTTTGTTAGTTATTCTGTAACCGGAGTTAACACCAAGAGACTAGCTAGTTTAGTAAACAAAAAATAATGAAAGTCAGTTAATTATTTATACATGATTTAATCTAATTTAATCACAGTTTATCACAGTTAATTATAGTTAGTTATCATATCGGTGTGTCACTTGCGCTTGAGTCTGCGGTGTGGACATGCAGGAGGTAGGTGGTCCGGTATTCCTTGGATTTCTGTGTTTGGGTGGGACTGGAACTTGCTAAACATCTTCCTAGCTGTCTCTCAGTGCATGGTTCACTAGAGGAATGTCCAGGTCTCAGTGCAGTGTGGTATTTCGACATACCAGGGGCTCCAGTTAAAATCCGTAAGGCCCTGTTTTGAAATGTCTGGATTCTCTTAATTTGGCTGTTCGATGCTGAGGCCCAAACACCAGAGCCATATAGCCATATTGGTCAAATGAGGGGCATATATCTTAGTTTTTTGTTGCTCAGACTGATAGTTGGGCTCTTAAGTAGCGGTTTGAGGTCAATTAGTCTGCATCGTGATCTCTTTAGCACATCGCTTATGTGTTGATGCCAAGTCAGCCTCCAGTCAAGAGTAACACCCAGATATTTTGTGTGTGTCGATTCACTGATATTCTTATTATTTAGTACCAGTTGTTGTTCATTGGCTTTTTTCAGATAAGTGAACTGGACTAATTTTTATTTATCTGGGTTTAGCTTGACTTTCCACCTATCCGCCCATTCAGAGACTTGGTCAGTGACTTGTTGCAGAGTCTGTTGTACCTTTGCGCTGGTTTCCCCTGTGCTCGATATAGCCACATCATCAGCAAAAAGTTCTGTCTTGACTGTTCCTGGGATTTGGGATGAGAGATCACTCAAGCTCACCAAATAGAAGAGACGCCCACAATGCTGCCTTGTGGGACACCAGAAAATGTGGGCTTTGGGTCAGAAATGCCATCCTGTTCTTTGACACAGAAAGTTCTTTCCGACAGGTAGGAAAGGATAAGTCGATAGTAGTTGTTCGGTAGGCTGTCTGTTTACTAAACTAGCTAACCTCTTGTTAACTCTGGTTACCGAATAACTAACAAAATAAGAGATATACACAAACATACATTTCTTCATGCTACTCGCTTCCCAATGAAATGCCTAATAATACATGTTTTATATATATATTAATGTTTATATATACACACACACACACACACATATATATAAATTGTGTAAAGTTTATGTTGTCACACTGAACCTTAAGCTTAGCCAACTAATGCCCAGGGTCTACACCAGCACCCTGTATAAATAACCGCTCCATCCAAGGCTCATAGGATGAGGTGTTGCCATATGAGTTACTGTACTTACCCATGTTAGCTAGGACCTAGAATTCTTGCTACCTCAAATCGCATAATCAGCCTCGTCAGCATGGGCCCGGATTCTAACCATAGGCCATGGCTGCTCCAGCGATCCACCGCTAAGACTTTCCTAACTAACATTACTCCCCTCCAAAACTGTATGCTAAACAATAAAAATCTTATTGTAACCCAAGGGTGCCACCACTTAAACTGGAGTTAATTCCTGCGTAATACTAACATACCTTTTTTTAAAAGATATCCCAGGGCACAAGAGAAGAGGTCTGTGCTACAATATCAAGCCAAACAAAAAATTGTCACCACTCAATTAAATTTTAATTTGACAAACTTTTTCCCTTGGAAAAGAAAAAACTTTTGGATTGTTTTTATACTTTATCCTTAATATAATAACATGCTTAGAACGTTTGTAGATTTATAAAACTCATGAAAAGTTAATTTTAGAAAAATCAAAGAAGATCGGTTAGCATAGATAACAAGTATTCATTAAGAAAAACCAGAAAAAATGAAGATGGAATTGTAAGCCATGAGAAAATAGAAGAGGAATATTACAGAAAACTTGAATACAGATGTGAAAGTATAAACATTAATCATTTGTTTAATATTATAGTCTTTAGACTGTAGAGAATACAACGGCATTCAAGCTAAGCGCAGAAATAATTTACTTTCAATGAATTCTTTATGCTTGGTTAATTGCTGTTCAAATATACATTGTTAAAAAAATTAAAATTCAGTATTTCTCTATGTTAAAATTTTCAATGAGGAATTAATTTATCAGTTATATCAAAATTTTAACCTTTTTTCTTCTTTCTTCTTTTTTGTATAAATAACATCCAATTTTACACTATAAAATATATTCCAGGCATCTACACAGCGGCTGAAGCAAATTGTAGAAAAATATTTGACACATCTTATGACAGATGCCGGGAAGCTGTTTCATCGGTTGCTTCCTGGGCGCTGTGCTGGCCGATGAAACTCACCGTTGTTTGTAATACGGCGGCAAGTAAGCTCGGGCGAAATTAGCTCACCAGTAAATTAAGCCACAGTTGGATTTCAGTTGTAGGCGATGAGAAGAATTGCGATCCTAAATCGGAAATATCATCAGGCTGGGGGTACGGTTATGAATACTTGATAAAAGCCAAAAAAGAGATGTTCAAAGATTTTCAGCATGCTGAAATCACATATAAAATTCGAAAGCCTAACATCACAGTAATTTAAAATGCTTCATTAAACCTCTACATTCAAATCAATAGTAAAATATTAAAATAAAGTTAGATCTCAGAACAGCAGATGACACAGCACAAGCAATCATGAAGGAATTTGAGAGGAAAAAAGATTTCATCGATTTGGTTTTGTTATTCATCAAACGACTAATGGCACTTGCATTTATTAAAATAATACTCAGGTATTGATCGTAACAATACAAAATGATTTAAAACTAAACTGCGGGTTTATTATAGTGCTAACAGCTACCACACGAACTATCTGACAGATATCAAGTTCTCAAATTTTTATATAACAAAATATTTTAAGAAAATCGACGCAAGGAGGCATAAACATGGCAAGCACACATTACTACCATTGAAGAAGATAGAAAAAACATTTTTCGTCGATCCAGCGCAGTGTAAATTAACCAGAAAAGAGCTAAAACAGACTGTAATTTTGTGAAACATACATATTTTTAAAAATTCTACATCTATTATTTTTAAGATGGGGAATTGTATAAAAATATTTATTGAGATGCTAACAGCAACGACAATCATACTCATTGACCAGTTGTTTTATGAGACGCTCGATTTAGTCAGGCGACACTCAAAGATGGAATATTATCAATCAGGTTAGTCTTTTTCTCTGATAAAGTAAATTATACTTTACACATAATTCAAATCCTTACCTTTCATTTAAAAAAATCGATTCAATAAAAATATTCGATTAAAAATTTTGCTAATAAGTTAAAATTTAAATTTTTACACTGTATAAGTTTGTTGTTTGTTCATACTATGTTGAAATATCAACAATTAAACCTTGATGTTATGACATGCAGGAATTCATGATATGATTGTTAATGTAAAAGGAACCGGGATGGTGGCATCAATGATTAGATCTGTAGTAGAAGATTTTAATTTTAAAAGAAAGCTAAATGAAACATTATCTAACGCTGGTAAGATTTACCGATTGATTCAGCCCAATTAGCATTATTGTGAGTGTAAATTGTACAGAATGTCTCCCCGTGCCGTCATCGCTTAAGACGAGTCATCTTAAGAGGATTTACATCATGTATTGTATCCTTTTTGCCATGGTCATATTTCAAGGTTATGCCGAAAGGCTAATGAGATTCTTCTGTGCATCTTTCTACCCGAAAGTAAGTCCATTTTTTTTATGACACTATAACAATTGAATAAGTCTTTGATTACTTTTTAGCATGAGAAACGGAGGGTTTTATTTTTATATAATGATACACTTAAGAGAAGGATATCCTATTTTAAATACAAGCTGGCCAGAGTGAAAAGGAAAGTCCAAGAAAATAAACTTTCAGTGAGGCAGATTAATACCTAAAAGTTCTAATTTTTCAGTAATTTTTTTTTTCTTTCTAGCAAGATGGCAATATAGTGTTGAAGTTAAGACTCAAGTATCCAGGACTCCTTGGTTGGCTTATATATTTTGACATAGCAAAAAGAAAATGCCTGATCTGTGGTGATCTTGAATCAAGACGACAAATTATAAATGATCGGGAGTTGCATAAGTGTCCGGTCTGTTCATATATATTCTGCCTTGAGTGCTGGAATGACGCCGACGAAACGTGCATAGTCTGCCATCCGAAGTCAGCGTCCGATGATGAAAGTATTGATGATGGAAAAGAAGACGATGAAATCGCTTATTGATAAAACAAATAAATCAAAACTTTTGTTCGTCTATTCGTATTTTTTTAACAGAAAATGGCAAAATGCTTTGAATACGATATCAACTAATATACTGTAAACGGCAGCACTGTTTGCTATTCTTCTACAGCAATATGCTTCATCTCTAAAAACATAGATGATTACAAAAAGAGTCAAAATGCATTTGAAAACTCTCTTAAAGCCTGAAAACATCATTGTATTAGACAAACATTAAAGAAAAGTATGTATGGTTTGTTCAAGGTTTAAAAAAAATTACTTGGTTTAAGATAATCTCTTGCATCAGCAACAAGTTTCTGTAAAAAAAATTGATTAAACTTTGAAATAGTTTTTTTACAAAATTAATCACACAATAAATGTTAATGATTTATAATTTTGTGCATACTTTATTGCAATGACTACAAAAATCCGCTGGCACTGTACATGCATCTTTAGATGGACAAGCTGCAGAACAAGCACTAAAAGCAATAAATAACAAAAGATTGATAAAGATAAATAAAGTTTTATAGGTGTAAAGTCCTTGTTAGAGAAACTTTTTTTTAACATACTGAATTTGAGAAATATTCTATGAATGTATTACTGCCAGGTTGTTGTGTTCAAGTTGTTTAATTTTTAAATAAATAAATAACTGCAGATTTTATGTTTGGTTTTGTTTTAATCAGGGCATTAAATATTTAGTTTACAACTTGCTATTTATATGGCTTAGTTATTATTAATTAGGTAGTACTTAGTCCAATTCATGCCAAACCAATTTAAATATAGAGTAATCATTCCGCAACTTGATTGAGTCAAATATGTGTGGGTGTGTGTGTGTGTATATATATATATATATAT